TTCTGGTTTACATAAGAATGGCCATACTGGGTCAGACCAAAGGTCCATCCAGCCCAGTATCCTGCCTGCCAACAGTGGCCAATGCCAGGTGCCCCAGAGGGAGTGAACCTAAAAGGTAATGATCAAGTGATCTCTCTCCTGCCATCCATCTCCACCCTCTGACAAACAGAGGCTAGGGACACCATTCCTTACCCATCCTGGCTAATAGCCATTAATGGACTTAACCTCCATGAATTTATTTAGTTCTCTTTTAAACCCTGCTATAGTCCTAGCCTTCATAACCTCCTCAAGCAAGGAGTTCCACAGATTGACTGTGTGCTGTGTGAATAACTTCCTTTTATTTGTTTTAAACCTGCTGCCCATTAATTTCATTTGGTGGCCCCTAGTTCTTATATTATGGGAACAAGTAAATAATTTTTCCTTATTCACTTTCTCCACACCACTCATGATTTTATATACCTCTATCATATCCCCCCTTAGTCTCCTCTTTTCCAAGCTGAAAAGTCCTAGCCTCTTTAATATCTCCTCATATGGGACCTGTTCCAAACCCCTAATCATTTTAGTTGCCCTTCTCTGAACCTTTTCTAATGCCAGTATATCTTTTTTGAGATGAGGAGATCGCATCTGTACGCAGTATTCAAGATGTGGGCATACCATGGATTTATATGAGGGCAATAAGATATTCTCCATCTTATTCTCTATCCCTTTTTTAATGATTTCTAACATCCTGTTTGCTTTTTTGACCGCCGCTGCATACTGCATGGATGTCTTCAGAGAACTATCCACGATGACTCCAAGATCTCTTTCCTTATTAGTTGTAGCTAAATTAGCCCCTGTCACATTGTATGTATAGTTGGGGTTATTTTTTCCAATGTGCATTACTTTACATTTATCCATATTAAATTTCATTTGCCATTTTGTTGCCCAATCACTTAGTTTTATGAGATCTTTTTGAAGTTCTTCACAATCTGCTTTGGTCTTAACTATCTTGAGCAGTTTAGTATCATCTGCAAACTTTGCCATCTCACTGTTTACCCCTTTCTCCAGATCATTTATGAATAAGTTGAATAGGATTGGTCCTAGGCCTGACGCTTGGAGAACACCACTCGTTACCCCTCTCCATTCTGAAAATTTACCATTTATTTCTACCCTTTGTTCCCTGTCTTTTAACCAATTCTCAATCCATGAAAGGATCTTCCCTCTTATCCCATGACAACTTAATTTATGTAAGAGCCTTTGGTGAGGGACCTTGTCAAGGGCTTTCTGGAAATCTAAGTACACTATGTCCACTGGATCCCACTTGTCCACATATTTGTTGATTCCTTCAAAGAACTCTAATAGATTAGTAAGACATGATTTCCCTTTACAGAAACCATGTTGACTTTTGCCCAACAATTTATGTTCTTCTAGGTGTCTGGCAATTTTGTTCTTTACTATTGTTTCAACTAATTTGCCTGGTACTGACATTAGACTTACCGGTCTGTAATTGGTGGAATCACCTCTAGAGCCCTTTTTAAATATTGGCATTACATTAGCTATGTTCCAGTCATTGGGTACAGAAGCCGATTTAAAGGACAGGTTACAAACCATAGTTAATAGTTCCGCAATTTCACATTTGAGTTCTTTCAGAACTCTTGGGTGAATGCCATCTGGTCCCGGTGACTTGTTACTGTTAAGTTTATCAATTAATTCCAAAACCTCCTCTAATGACACTTCAATCTGTGACAGTTCCTCAGATTTGTCACTTACAAACGACGGCGTAGGTTTGGGAATCTCCCTAACATCGTCAGCCGTGAAGACTGAGGTTACACTGTTGTAATGCTGCGGATTTAAGTGGAATTGTTCCAGATTTACACCAACTTCACTGAGATCAGAATCTAGCCCATATATTTTACTTTTGTATTTAAATAAGGCATACCTTTCACTAGGAGATTCTTACATAAAAAAGCTTTAACCTTACCTAATGTTAACTCACATATGGAAAATAAAGCAAATAGACATGGGCACATATGTTTTATAATTTTTATTATGATTTATTATAAAGCCATTGAGCTAAATTCAGTCTGGCTTCAGTGGGTGCAGCTGGTGATGCTATCAAGTACAGTTGTGTGTTCTCTCAATATGGCAGGGCAGAATTCAGTCTATTAAAAGTACTTGTGTTTATTGCTGCTTTTTATGTTGGCTTAAAATGTATTTAGGAAGGGGTGACAGATTGGGATGAATGGAAACCAGGTCTAGTATGTATGTGAAGACCTCCAATTTGGCCAACCTGTTGGACCACAGCAAAAAGCATGAGTCTCTACACTTTAAACAGCCCAGGTCTTGTAGCTGGAGTGTGTAAAAGACCTATATCTTCTATGTCAGGGGTCGGCAACGTTCGGCACGCGGCTCGCCTGGGTAAGCACCCTAGTGGGCCAGGCCAGTTTATTTACCTGCTGACGCAGCAGGTTCGGCCAATAGTGGCCCCCACTGGCCGCGGTTTGCCGTCCTGGGCCAATGGGGGCGGCCTCAGCCCGCGCCGCTTCTCGCCACCCCCATTGGCCCAGGACGGCAAACCGTGGAGAGTGGGGGCCGCGATTGGCCGAACCTGCCACGTCAGCAGGTAAATAAACTGGCCCGGCTCGCTAGAGTGCTTACCCTGGCAAGCCGCATGCCGAATGTTGCCGACCCCTGTTCTATGTATTGGGCAGAGCTGGATGCGTATTATACAGTGAACAGTGGGTTACATGTATGTAGGGCTCTGTTTTTGAAAAGTGTCTATTATGTGGCAAAGGCAAATGTGGAACTAGCTAATTTGGGTGAATTGTGTCCAAGATGCATCCCAGATTATTGCCTCTTCTTTTATTCAATGTGCCAGTTTTGCTCTGATTGCCATTAAAAAAAAAAAAAATCTGAGTACTCTTCAATGAGAGAAATGTGATGAGGCTGATGTCCCGTTTATATTATGCCATATCCACCTGGCATAAGTGATAGGAGAGCTGACCCTGAGTTTGTTGTAAATTGAACATATGCTGCATGTTGTGGGTGCTTGATACCTGAATAATAAAATCTGACTAGCCCTTTTAAATGGATAATGTTGTAAATATGGGATTTATCCTGAGGGTACTTGTATGTTTTCTGGGCTCTACCATGAACTGATGACCGTTGTATTCTCTGCTGCAGGATTCCTGTCATCCCTGCCTGGGCAGTTTTTCATGGGGAATGTTGGAGGGATTACATACAGTGGGCATATTTTACTGCAGCTCTAAATGGGACAAATTAACTTTCTCTGCTGGTTGAAGCACATACAGTGGATCACTTGGGGCCAGACATCACCATGGCCTGCTGGCTAGAGGGGAACATGCACGTGGTGACTGGGTCTGCATATTCACTGGTCCTCTTTATAGTACTCCTGTGTAGACCCTCCTACATTGATTACACTCGGGAGAAGGGGAGGTAAGAGACTCTTCATGGTCTCTTGCCCTAGGCTGTGGGCAGGATCTCGCCCTAAGTAATGCAGAGATGTCATCCTTTCTCCATTCACTGGTATTAAAAATATTGAGCCAAATCCTAATGTCCTTACTCAGTTCATTTTTTTTACTCAGGCAAAATTCTCACCCAAGTTTGAACTGAGCTTCAGACGTAGCCCAGTAGTCCCAATTAAAAAAAAATGAATAAGCGTGTACAGCACATTCATGAAAAAAGAACAGGAGTACTTGTGGCACCTTAGAGACTAACAAATTTGTTAGTCTCTAAGGTGCCACGAGTACTCCTGTTCTTTTTGCGGATACAGACTAACACGGCTGCTACTCTGAAGCACATTCATGGTGGATTTAATTATCATTTTTTAATGTCTGGTATTGGGATATTGTAATTTAAGTTTGGAATAAATCATCTAGAGTAGGATACATAGCAGCTGAATTTTGGTAAAGACTTTTAATGGACCATAAGTACTATTTATTATGAAGCATCTAGCTGATTTTAAAAAATAAGTTAGGTATTTCAGCTACAGCATTTACCTCTGAAATCCTCTGTTAATTTTGGTGATTTTGCAACCATGTTTCCTTATTTAAAACAACAACAACAACAACAACAAAACCTCTTTCCTCATCTGTTTTGTAAAAAATAAAAGAGGAAACTGACTGACTAATTGAATATACAGTGGAAACAGTGAAGCTAACTATACACAAAGTGTTGTCAAATACACATAGTAAAGTGGGAAAATGCTTTAATTTCTTTCTTATACTAATCAGACATGTCACTTCTAAACATAATAGATGAAAAACTTCTGTAAAATTTGTTTTTTAGTCAGTGAATTTTTTAAAGAACTTTTTTAAAAGAATCAGAACTTTTTGTCTGATGCTGTGGAACAATACTACATACAGCTAAGGAGAAGCACAATTGTCACTCCCAGGAAAGACATCTGAACAGAAAGCATATTAGAGGGGAAGCTCTTCGCTAGAGAAATGACACAGATAATCAGCCTGGGAATGGTATTTAAGTTTGAATGTTCATTCACTTTCCTCTCAAGTTAAGTGACTGTGTCTTATCTATCATATTGTCACATTTAATGAAAAACCTATAGCCTGTTTAGCACATTTGAGGTTTTTATTGCTTATAATCCAGCATTCAGTTTGTCTTGGTGGATTGGGCAGCCTTACTTTGTTTGCAGTATTTTGAGTATTTCTTGCTCTTTTTTGCATTTGAGGTTTAATCTTCCAGAGTTTTATTCAGCAGAAATTAACTTCTGCAAATACTGAGCTGTGGAAGCTGGAAAGACTTTCTGGACTTGGCACCATTTGAATCTTATCCTAATTTAGAAGAACATTTCTAGAGCTATTGCCACTTTGGAATGCAGTGCTACTGGAGTATGCATGTGTGCACAATACAGACTTTGGCATGCCAGGCAGCTTCTTCACATGGAGTCCTTCTCTGGGAGACCTATTAACAGCTGGGAATGGCACAGAGAGTTGAGCTGCATGTATGTTGTTTTATTCTTATTTTATATTCTCACTTTTCAGAGTGGTGTAATGTCCCCAGCATGGATGCTACAGGCTGCTAGCCCAAAGTCACATAGCAGGTCAGTGCCTTAACCATCTTTGTTAGACTCCAAAAGCTCAATTTATTTAGTTTATCACTATAAGGCAGTGGTCCCCAAATTTTTTACCTCTTGTCCCCCTTTGCCCCCTTCCGCACCCCCCAGCCTCCCAGAACTGGGGCTGGGAGTGGGGCCGTGGCTCTGGGAGGAGGGACGCGGACAGGGGTAAGGGGGCCGGTGGCTGGGGCCACAGCTGGGAGCTGGCCCAGGCTCCAGATCACCCCCCCCGAATGTTCTATAGCGCCCCCCTAACGGAGTATGCCCCACAGATTGGGGGGCCTCTGCTATAAGGCATGTTTTTAAATCCTTTAGTCATTCTCATGGCTCTTTTTTTAACACTATCCAATTTATCAACATCTTTCTTGAATTGTGGACACCAGAAGTGGACACAATATTCCAGCAGTGGTCTCACCTGTGCCAAATATAGAGGTAACATAATCTCTCTACTCCCAGTCAAGGTTCCTCTGTTCATGCATCCCAGGATCACATTAGCTCTTTTGGCCACAGGATCACACTGGGGTTCTTATTCTGCTGATTATCCACCAGAGTCACTGCTTCTCGAGATAGAGCCCCCAATCCTGCAAGTGTGGCCTACGTTTTTTGTTCTGAGATGTATATATTTACAGTTAGCGGTATTAAAATAAATATTGTTTGTTTGCACCCAGTTTACCAGGAACTCCAAATTGCTCTGTATCAGTGACCCATTGTTTTCAATTTACCACTCCCTCAATTTTTGTGTCATCTGCAAACTTTATCAGTGATGATTTTCCAGGTCACTAATAAAAATGTTTAATAGTGTAGAGCCAAGAACCCGCCCCTGCTGACCCCACTGGAAACATACACACTTGATGATAATTCCCCAGTTAAAATTAGACCTATCAGTTATCTATTTTTTTTCCACTTAATGTGTGCTGTATTAATTTTAACTGCCACTCAGTTGAGAAATAGCTAGTAGTATGTACAATATTTGTTATATTGCACCTCTTGTTTAAGCCTTCATTCTTGCTGAATACCTTATTCCATCTCTTACTTTATATGTTACCTAATTTCCAATTCTTATACAGTTTTTTTGTATTCACTTCCTTATGCCAATTCACCTTAGTTGCATGATTATTTTGTTCAAAACGTCTTTATGCTTAAATTTTACTGGTGTTTGCCTTTATTTATGCTTTTAATCTCTCCAATTCATCCCCGGTCCTTATGTTCTTAGCTAGCTGATTACACACAAGAGAATGTGTTGTTTTTCATAGATTTTTAAGGCCAGAAGAGACACTGTGATCATCTCGTCTGACCTCCAGGATAACACAGACCATAGGACTTACTTGAATTAATTCCTGTTTGAACTAGAGCATATCTTTTAGAAAAACATCCAGTCATGACTTTAACATTTCCAGTGATGGAGAATCCACCACAGCCCTTGCTATATTGTTCCAGTACTTAATTACCCTCATTTAAAAATGTGTGCTTTATTTCTAGTCTAAATTTGTCTAGTTTCAGCTTCCAGCCATTGAATCTTGTTTTATCTTTGTCTGCTAGACTGAAGAGTCCTCTATTACCAAAAAGAAGAACAGGAGTACTTGTGGCACCTTAGAGACTAACAAATTTATTAGAGCATAAGCTTTCGTGGACTACAGCCCCCTTTTTGGGATGGGCTGTAGTCCACGAAAGCT